AAAAAAAAAAAGGAAAGAGAAAAAGCTGCTGAATAGAAGTAATGTTAGTTGGTTATATGGAAATGGTAATTTAAAGTAAATTATTTGATCGGATTGTCCATTCAGTTTTGCTTTTGGATACTGCATCAGTTTAAAATATTGCACAATATTTGTTTAATGTATTGAAGAAAAGAAAAAAGAAAAGGAAAAAAAAAGGCAATTTAAGCATAACTTTTTTATGATAAGCGTTGTTAAGTTTGAAAAGAAAAAATTTTTCTTATCATTATTAAAACACAAATTGTACAATTGAATAATTAACTTATTGTTTTACAGAAAAATATACCCCGGTTAAAGTGTTTCTTCCCACTGTTTGTTTATAACAGCAATTTTATTACTGCTGAATAAATTATATCAATTACCTATTTTTTTTTTTTTGTTTCTTTTTCAGGTTGATAATTGAATGATAACTGATATTTATAGGAAACAGAACATACAGTTGTTGATTGTTGCTTTCCAATCTTTTATTCTCTATTTAATGGTTAAAAATATATGCATTGTTTTTTTTTTTCTTCCCCCAACCCCTTCACTTCCAATATTTTTTACACACTCAAAAATACTGCCCTACATTATTTTGGTCTGAATCAATAGAACGGCAACTGAATTATTTTGCTGAGAACAATACAGGAAAAGAGGAGGCAAAAAAAAAAAAAGAACTGATCGTTGAAAAGCTCTTTTTAGCCAATTGCTCAGCTAATCGAAAAACAGACTGCTTTTTCAGTCTTTTTTAATAAATCTCTGTGTTTGTATGTATTTCTGTGTGTTTCACTGATACACAGAAAGCTGTTAAAACCAAAACTTCAAATGGTTTTACTTTTTTGGATATTTCCAAATTTTTTGCAAAAAAACTGCAGTGTAACAATATGAAAAAATTGACATTTGATAACTATTTCATCGACATAACAATAGTCGTATTTCATTCAATTATTTTTGATCACTTATCAGATGACATATTTTTCTCGATAAAATAAGCCTTTTTTTTTTGTCCAATGCTTTCTTATTATTTGTGCATTACCCTCTTTTCTTCCTATTTATTTTTTTAAACTTACTTTTTGATTCAGTTTTGACAGATTGCTAAGTATGCTAAATTTTTACGCCTAATTTGCGGACACTGTTTCTCTTTTACAACAATTATCATATAGTGTATAGTGTTGAAAAAAAAAATTGAGCAATGACATTTCTGATTGTAACTTAGATTGATACTTTGACCTGAGCAATTTGGTTGTAAAAAAAAAAAATTACTATATAAAATTTTTTATTCTTTCTCAGACTATTGCTAAGAATTCGTCAATTCGTTCACTATACTGTTTTTTTTCACCGGTTACAAACATTTTGGATCTCTTTTTAAACAGCTTTTTAAAAGAAAAAGAAAAAGTGGCTAAGTTTTAGTTTTTGTCTTTTTTTTTTTTCATCTGTGAAGTTTGTCATTAATTTTGAACAGTTTATTTTTGCAAGAATTTTTTTTTTTTTAACTGTTATTTATTTGCTGTAATTATTATTGCAATTTTACGAATAAAAATAATTTCTGCTATAAAATAATTATTGTTTAATCGTTGCAAAAAAAAAAGTTGACAAATATAAAAGGTTTCTATAATTTTTTGACCGGTATAATACAGGGCCCAAAAATTTCAGTAATTTTTTTTTTGGCAGTGAGTTACTCGTTTTTACTGTTTCAGTTAGTTTATTTTTTCATACCAAAGTAAGTCCGTGTTTTTATACATCAGTTAAAGTTAAAATTTGCAGATTGGTCAGAGCAAAATTTAATATTTATTATGATAAAATTAAGTAACATAAAGAAGGTGATAACTATTTTTTAGCGTTATCGTTAACGCTATACAGTTGGACTGGAAAAAATGGTTTTGTTTGAAGTGATTTTTTGACAGAAGAAAGGGAAAGGAGTCTTTTTGCAACAAATATTTTTGATAGATTAAAAAACTAAATATAAGAAAAAAAAAAGTCTACCATAATTTAACCTCTGAATTTATAAACAAATGACAACAATTAAGCCTTAAAATCAACTGTTTTCACTTGTCATTATGTCAGTTTTTCTAATGTTTTCCCTTTCTCCTATCTTTTTTTTTTCTTCAGTTGTTCCGCTACTGTTAGCTTTTTATTTGGTTGGTTAAACTTAAGAATTAGGGTATTTGTGAAGAATTTACAACGTCGTTTTATTGCTGCACTATTGGTAAAGAAAATAAAGACAAACGAAAAGTTAAGTGTTCGGTTGACGATCGTTTAAGTAAAGGGTATGCATATTATTGAAAGCAATCGCAAATTATACATTGTGGTACTTATTTATTCATAATTTTTTTCTTCTATTATTATGGAATCTGAGGAAAGAAAAAGGCAAAAAGAGAAGGAAACAAAATTACTTTTTTTTTGTTTTCTTGAGACTATTTTAACTTTTTTCTTTGACCTTACAAATACTATTGGTTTGTCAAAATCAAATGATTCAAAGCTGGCAGGGTTTTCTCGTCCCTTTTTTTTTTTTGACAGTTTTGACAGAAAATCGACAAATTCTTTCATCAGCTCATAGGACTTCTAAGTATTTTCTTCTAACTTTGTTGTTTGTCTAATGCTCAGATCAATACAATAATCCTTGAACAACAAAATTCTGAACCCTTTTTAAGCTTCAGATAGCTGTACTGAAGCAAAAAAAGCAAAGAAAAAAAAGAAAGAAATTTGTGTGCCTATGACTGGCCTCATCGTTTAACGTTAGCTTTATTCCTGACTTTCCTCCTTTTTTTTTGCTGTTAATCAACATCGATCTGTTTGTTGCTGTCAATTTTTTCAGCAGTTTATTCTCATCCTTTTTTTGTTATTATATCGTGCATTTTTTTTTGTTTTCTTTTGTTTTGTTTTTCTTTTTTATGATACTTATCCACTTAAGTTTGGACAGTATGAAGTGGATTGATTGTTGTTGCACTGCTCTAATTGCGTATCACAATTTTGGTCTGGGAATCCCTGGAAAAGATCAAAAAAAAAAAAGAAAAACAGAAGAGAATAGAAGCTGAAGACAAAAGAACAAAAAATTTTAGGGTAGTAGTTAAACTTTTAAGTTTCTTTTCTTTAGTTTTTCTTTTGTTTTTGCAAATAGACTAAACTGAACTGTTGCAAATTCAAATGTTTAGAGTAATTGCTATATGTTCTCAAATAGGAAAGGCACGTACTGAAAAATTGCAACAAGTCTTAACAGATCTAAACGACTAATATCAATAATGATCTCTAATTTATGAAGATTTTACTCCATTTTTGGTGCTTGAAATTGACTATCAATTTCTTTATTTTCTTTTTTTGGTAAATTCATATGTCTCTGCAATTTGACATTTACATTGCAATTTGCAATTTAGCAAAAGTAATAAGCATTAAAATTTATGCTTATTTATGGGTTTTTATTTCTGTACTTTTGTTTACCGATACAAACCTTTTCAATCATTTACACTCCTCAAACTTTGTTAAGTATTATAATTTT